CGTGTCGCGCCACCCACCAGCCGGCAGAGCGAGGGCTCTCCCCTGGACCCCAGAGCACGTGGAGACCCGGGCGGAAAAGAGACTCTTTGTCCCCATCGTGAAAACACACGGTCAGCCCCAGAGAACGCTGCGGACCCCTGGAGCACAGCGGCCGGGGCCCATGTGGAACAGACACCCTCGAAGCCACAGGTGTCCCCCCTCCAGCCACAGGGGAGCCGGCATTCTTTGCTGGGCTTGCGGCCACGGGCCACCCTCAGAGGGCCACGCCAGCCAGACGGCTGTGCTGGCTTTATTGCCCCTCTCCTGTCCCCGTCCCGCACTCCGCCCTCTCCCCAGTCAAGGTGCAAGGCGGCAAGTGCGATGGTTTCCTGCCCAAGCCACAGAAGAGGGGGTGGTTTGGACACCCCCCTGGGATGCGAGCCTCGAGCAGGGGCTTCCTCTAGGGACCCGCGTTGTCCCTGGAGGCACGGAGCCCACCAAAGCCATGGTTATGATGCCTCCTGTCCTTTAGCCCGTCTGAGCCCGTGTCCTAAAGGTGGACATGTAGACCCAGCCTGGACAGTGTTCAGGAGGAGGGCGGGGGCCGAGGGGCAGGCCCGACAGAGCAGGCCTCGGTGGGCTCCGTGTCGGCGAGCAGCGGCCTTTCCAGGGGCATTACCTGTTCTTGTCCCCACTCCACAGTGCCAGGGGCCGTGCGGACCTGAGGTTGACCCAGGACCTTTTCCCGTTACGAGGGGGCCTGGCGCAGGGATGGCGGGTCTCCTGGCTCTTTGGACACAGCCCTGGGGGGGGCACTTGTCCTCTGACATGGAGCCGTGACTCCGGCTATGCACTGCGTGAGCTGTCCCTGTGAAGTGGCAGCTGCTCTGTCACCACCTGTCCTGTCAAGCTGGCCAAGCTCGGGCGGTGGAGGGCACAGGCCCTATAGCAGAAACTTCTCAAAACAAGCAAACAAACAAACAAACCAAAACAGACAAGTCCCCTCCGGCCCGCGGCCTCCTGAGGGATACTCCTGCCAGGTGGAGACCAGCAGGGGCCACCAGCCAGCGAGGCAGTGCCAACACCCGGGGGCATGCAGGCTGTGGTGCCACCGCAGAGCGACCGGCCTGGGGTGAGGGCAAGCACGTCACGCGTGCTTGGACAGGCCATGCACACGCGACCTGAGTCACCAGTCCACATCAGTGCTGCCATGGAGCCATGACGGCCAGGGCTCCCTGCGCGGTGGGGGTCTGACGCGCCCCAAGGCCGAGGGCCCTGGGACTGGGCTGAGGAGTGCCGGCGACTGTGGCGTCAGACAGCCTGTGCCGTGGCCTTCAGCTGCTGTGGACCGTGGAGACGCTTGGCTGCAGCCGAGCCCTCGAGTGCTCCTTGTCATGGGTCACCTCCCGTCACACTCCTCTTAGAGGGCCAGGACCCCTGGGGCGCTCCTCGGCCGTCTCCCCACAGGTGCTGAAGTGCGGCCCCCACACGGGGTTCGCACAGGCAGCCTGCAGGGTGTCTCCGTGAGCTTAGCCACGAGGGGCGGCCTTGAGCACGTGGGGGGGGCTCTGTGTGGGCGGGCGCTGGCACCTGGGTCGCCCGTGCCCTGAGACCGACAGCTGAGTGACAGCAGTGACGACGCGCCTCCCCTGAAGTGCCACGTTGAGGACAGGACCACCCAGATTGGGGGGCTGTGGGGAAGCAGTGACCAGTCTCAAAATGACATAAACATGTTGGCTTCCTTCTTGTCTTCTGTTCCTTTCCCCCGTTTGCTACAGGGAACGTGGGCTTACCACAGAGAGACAGAGAGACAGAGACGGTGAGAAATCGCCCCCAGGGGAGGGGTGGCACATTGCAATTCTCTCTCCTCATCCTCCTGCCGGGACTTGCCCCAGTCCCCACACCAGAGGCCTCGTGCAGTGTAGACGCTCGCCCCGATGTTCCCGAAGCTCTGCGTCAGGAGGCCCTCCTCTCCGCAGCCCTGCAGCGAGCGCGTGTTCACCCTCTGAGCCCAGCGTCACGCACCGCCACCTGACCTCACTACGTGGTGGGTCGCCGTCACTGTCACGTAGGTCTCGCCTTCACAGGGCTCAGCTCCTCCGGTCCGAGCTTCCCAGGGACAGTCTGGTCATGATTTACTCCCGCTCAACTCGTCCAGCCCGAGGCCAGCACAGGACCTGCACCTGACTCAGGCTCCCGCAGTCCCCCGTACCGGCCGCTAAGAGCAGACGGGTCACTCGTACTTCCTAGCCGGACAGTGCCGGGCCCTGCCGTGTGTGGGGACTGACCATGGGCAGTGCCGGGCCCTGTGTTCCCACTGTGGGTGTTGCCTGTAACGGGAAGACACAGGAAGGGGCCTCAGGTGGATGACTTTGCAGGCCCGGGGCAGCGCCCTGACCACAGAAGGTCAGAGGACAAGGGGCCAGGGCATTGCTCTTCTCAAGGGAGAGGCTGGGTCGCCAGGTCATGTGAGGCCAGAGAAGGGCCTGACAAGGGACACCAACAGGACAGTGGGGGTGACACTGCACTGCCAACCCCTGTCTCCATGGGTTAAAATAATCAGCCATGAGCAGACAGGGTGCAGGGCACTTTCCCGGGAAGGCACAGCAAGTCCGCGGGGAGTGGAGGGAAACGCGTGTCCCTCCGCACAGCACTCCCGCCGGACGACAGCCCCCCCCCCAGGCACCT